GATTGATTACTGACAATAAGACTTGTAACGGCTAATTTGTCAGAATAGGATATTAAGAGGGAATATTCTAGGGTATATTACCTTCGTTTGTACTGTTATGGTTTTCTAGGAAAATGTCCTATATATATAGAAAAAAAAGATAATGATAGGGGCATGTAATATTGATTTTGATAAAAAAACTTTTGAGAATAAGATTCTCTCTCTCACACAAAAATACAAAGATTACTTTTTGAAAAAGCTTCTTGTTCATATTATTCCCTACATTTTCACTAGATCTGAGGATTGTTCATGCAAATCTTGGACCTTTCTGTCACTCATCATTGTTAGAAGATATATTTGTCTAATCCATACGCTTTTGGGTGAATCATTCTCCTTATTTACTTAAAACCCCTTTATTGCTATTTATTGTTAGTTATATCTCTATTAACGTTCATGCATCAAGAGTATTTTTGCATTTATTATCACCAATCATTTACGGGATCTGTCCCCCTCTCCCGTACGTTTCCGAGATTAATATCTAGAGTTATTATCCTTAACTAGATTTAATCCCTTGTTATATAAATAAAATAGTTAAACTGAAAATTACCCATTCTCCCATACGTTCCCGAGATTAATATCTAGAGTTATTATCTTTAACTAGATTTAACACATTGTTATATAAATTAAATAGTTTAACCGGAAATTACACTTTTTGATAAAATAATTTGGTGTCGTTTGTGGGGATTTTCTAGCTAAATGTTTTAGTTTCTTCTAATCTACAACCGACATTGGTTACTGATACAAACAAAAACCTTCTTCTCTTTGTAAAATCTAGTTTACCCACCTAACCTTTAAGGCTTGGGATATGTCACATTTTGAATGAAAACGACAACCCCCTTGTACTCAAAAATCAGCGGGAAAAAAACTATTATCATTAATAAAAATAAAAATTCAGAATAGCCTCTTTTTGGAGGGAATTGTTTTGGCGCTAGATTAAGTTTGGTGCTATATTCTGGTAATTAGCATCAATCACAGTGTTTACTTTAAACTTTTAAGCCAAAGCTTGACATAAATTTGGGGAAAACCTAGAGTCATCTGGAAACTAGACGAACTTTTCAAGGTGAGTAACCTTTGATACTTATATTTATTTAGTGGTAGAGAATGAAAAAATATTTCAGTATGTTCTTTTTTTTTTTAAGTTACTCGGAATGTATTAGTGCTTTTTCCTTTTTAAACTTTGTTCTTGTGGTCATGTGGTATGGACTGCATCTTACAGTATGTTCATTATTCATTATGTGGTGGTTATAGAATGGTCTAAAGCCATGTAGGGGCAGACACATTCTACTAACGATGATATATGATTAAAGTATTGTAAAATTTCTTCTGAGGTGCCATTTTGTTCATTCTGGACTCATGGGAACAAAGTCGAGTACTCTTGCTATAAGGACAAAAGTTCTAAGGGAGAGCTGAGATGCCCTTTGTATGGGCCAAAATCCGTCTCTAGGAAATTTAACATAATATGGCATTGAGGAAAGAGTCGGTCGGGCTCACCCAAGATGCAGCAAAGTCACTAGCCGAGGTGCCGAGGTGCCGACATGAGTCGTAGTCGAAATGTTGACAGGAGTCGTAGTCGAGATGGTCAACAAAGGTCGATGTCGAGATTGATTACTGACGATAAGACTTGTAACGGCTAATTTGTCAAAATATGATATTAAGAGGGAATATTCTAGGGGATATTCCCTTTATTTGTACTATTAGGGTTTTCTAGGAAAAAGTCCCATATATATAGAAAAAAGAGACAATGATAAGGGCATGTAATATTGATTTTGATACGAACATTTTTGAGAATAAAATTCTCTCTCTCACACAAAGATACAAAGATTACCTTTTGAAAAAGCTCTTTGTTCATATTATTTCCTACCTTTTCACCAGATCCGAGGATTGTTCATGCAAATCTTGGACCTTTTTGTCACTCATCATTGTGAGGAGAAATATTCGTCCAATCCATACGTTTTTGGGTGAATCATTCTCCTTATTTACTTAAAAGTCATTTATTGCTATCTATTGTTAGTTATCTCCATTAATGTTCATGCATCAAGAGTATTTTTGCATTTATTATCACCTATCATTTACGGGATATGTACCCTTCTCCCGTACGTTCCCGAGATTAATATCTAGAGTTATTATCCTTAAGTAGATTTAACCCCTTGTTATATAAATTAAATAGTTTAACCGGAAATTACTCTTTCTCCCGTACGTTCCCGAGATTAATATCTAGAGTTATTATCCTTAACTAGATTTAACCCCTTGTTATATAAATTAAATAGTTTAATCGAAAATTATACTTTTTGGTAAAACACCCTTGAAATTTACTTCATCTTTTGAGTGCAAGGGGGTTATCGTTCTCATTCAAAAAGTAAAGGGGTATAGTTTCTCAACCTTTAAAGCTTAAGGGGGTACATTGGATTGCATAAGGGGGTTGTCGTTCCCATTCAAAATGTGAGGGGGTATAGTTTCTCAAGCCTTAAAGGTTAAGGGAGTAAACTAAATTTTACTCTTTATATTATGCTTATTACTATTATAACTTATTAATTAGCAATATTTATTTTATGCGACTTGTTGAGTATTTTAGTATAATATAATGACTCGTCTCACATTATTTTGTATTATTTTCTTGGATAACTTCTTATATAGTTTTATTCTACTAGGATCCAAAGAAATATTAGAGCACAAGTCATCTATTTTATGCTATGAAGATTTTACCGGAAAAAATTAGAAAACCCCGAGAAAAATCGAGATTGAAAAACCGGACTTTTGTTGGTTTGGTTTGGTTTATAGATTTGAAAATCCGAAATAATTGGTTTGATTTAGTAATTGAAAAACCCAAACCAACCCGACCTATATACACCCCTTGTTCTCATTAGTCCTGTAAAGCAACCAACAGCTTTGATAGATATTCGCCTTGATCTTCTTAATTAGAACAAATAGAACCATCGTATAATATTAAAAATAAAAGAAATGGATTTGGACATTAACCTTATTATTTAATCATGATTAATCGATGTAAATAATTATATATTCTTTTTTTACTTTATTATAATAGATGAATATAACATTTTGTATATAATGATTGGATATATATATATATATATGATATAGACTTAGAGGGTGTTTGGATTGGCTTTTAAGCTGGTCAAATTAGCTTTTAAGATTTTTTTTAATTTTTTTTCATTGTTTGACAAAGTTAAAAAATGCTTAAAATAAGTTAAAAACTGCTTAAAACAAGCACTCAACTTATTTTTTCTGGCCGAAAAGCCACTTTTTTTTAAGTCAATCCAAATGGGCTCTTAGGTGCACCATATTTATTATATAAACCAAAACACTTTATAAATATTATTATTTATAGTCACCTTTTATACACATATATATAACTGATCCATCAACTTTTTCCTCAACCCTCTCTCTCTTCTCCCTCAACTCTTTCTCTCTCTCTCTTTTCTCTCAACCCTCTTCCTCTTTTCCCTATACTTTTTTGGTCGCCGTCTAGCTCTACCGGAGCCCAACCAAGCAGTCGTAATCACGCAGAGTTTGGAGGCGCAATGGGTCCATTACCGGTGGTGAAAACAATAGAGGAGGAAGATCGGATGCGTCATCAAATCTGGATCTAACGAAAATGTCGGAATTCATGATTCTCTTTCTGAAATCATAGATCTGGTTCGCTGGCGGAGGCCCACTAACGTCGTTGACTAAGATTCTTACTCAAAACAAAGCCTTTTTTCATCTGGTTTTGTCGTTCAAAATCCATTTTTGGTATTTGGGTTCTCCATCTTCGGAATCCGTCGCTTCTTCTCCGGAATTCATGGCTTGTTCTCCTTCATCGTTCGTCTTCATTTTTAGTTTTAATATAATGTATACAGTATTTTGCTTGGCCGGAAGACGCCATCTCCGACAAAATTTCCTCTCTTCTTTGCTATTGAATCACATACAATGATACAAATACATTGTATTTTGTATAACTACACTCAAATTTGAGTGTATTCTATATTTTTAATACAAATACAGTTTATTTTTTTTTGTGTTTTCGTATGTATTTATATATTTTGAAGGTTATTCTTTTGTGGCAGATCCCTGTATTTGAATTTTTGTTATTTGAATACAGCCGAATCAAATATACAGTAAATTGAATACATGTAAAATCATATACGAATAAATACAGTGAATTGAACACAGTCGAATATCACTGTATTTGTGATTTTTTGTTGTTTGAATACAATCTGATTGAATACAGTGAAATTGAATACAATGTAAAATATTTAAGAATAAATATAGCCGAATTAAATACAATGTACACAGCTGAATTAAATACAACGGTATACACCCTATTTTTAAATTTTTTATTGTTTGAATACAACTGAATTCAATATAGTAAAATTGAATACAATATAAAATATATAAGAACGAATAAATCTAAATTTAATACCATATATACAATCAAATTAAATACAACAATATACATCTAAGTAGCTACAAAATATAATTAACTATTATAACTACGCCTAACAATAATACTCCAAACAATAGTTATTTCTAAGGTTTTGAACACTTGGAATGAATCAGAAAGAAAGGTTTCATGAACCTTTTAGTAATCTCTGAGCACGTGGAAGTTTTTACGTGTGAAGCCCTTAGTCGTCTGCCAAAATACACCTCTCATATCATCAATCATCACCCGTTCGATATACCAAGCGAACGGTTCACATTTACCCAACTCTAAAATGAATCTGATTGGCTCTTACATTATGTTTCTCAATTCTAATTGGCCCACGTCATCAAATATGACGTGCATGAAAACAATCAGCTCCAAGTACGTGCATGATGAAATGGCAGCAACTCATTGGCTACTACACCCACGTTTCTTAGATATGATTGGTCCACGTCATCATACATGACACGTTCGTCAATTCAAAAGGTCTACTAATTCCCCAAAAGAAGGTTGCAGAAGACAGAGACTCGCAGCTATATATAGCGGGCCTTCAATTTCTGAACCTGAAAATCCAAAACTGTCTGTCTCTTTGATCAGCGAAAGTAGAAGAGAAACGATTCAACGACGAAGACATTGTTCATAGGCAGTGTTTTGTAGAAAGAGGAGTCCGTGTTCTGGATCTACGAGCTATGGCTGGTGCGTGGAAAAGACGCGCATCTTTGATCGTTTTCGCAATCTTACTCTTCGGTAAGCATCTCTTTTCCTTTCTTTCTTTTTTTAATAGAATGTTCAGTTTAAAGTTTAAAATTTTAAATTTGAGCTAGCTATGAAAAGAATTGCTGTGTTTAACATGGTTTTGAGCGATTATGAAATGAGGAGAATTGAACCGATTGACACAACATTATTGCTGATTTACTTCTCCATGTGTTAGAGGTAGTTAGTTTTGATATGATTATACTTCGGTTCTCAGATCTGCTTACTGTTTAGTTATTTATTTATATTTGTTCCTATAAAGCCATCCAGATTTAAGAGATTTTCAATTTTCGGTTCTGGTTCTCTTCCACTTTTTTGGCGATTATAACTTGTTAAACGCTTGTAGTAGTGCCACGGAGTTATTCGTTTAAATTGTTATTGTGTAAATAGCAGGGATATACTTGAACAATTAATAAGTAATGGTAAATCCTGAATCAGTACTAATATATTTGATCATTCTGAGTTCTTTAGCTCCATTTTCATATCAACATGTGCTTCTATATCGTAATACTAACAATACTGCGTTAGAGATACAAAGAGTAGAGGATGTAGCAACTAGGTGAAGAATAAAATTTGTTGAACTAGTTAAACAAGTGATAATTGTACATGGATTTCTGGTCCCAGCAATGTCCATGAAGTTGTTTGATCTCTGCAAATTCTTTTGCTTTTCCTGATAGTTTCGCCAATTCAAAAAGGAATAATTGTATACTCATTTACAATGCACTAATCTTGTTGTTTTGGGATTGTCGTCAACAGGGAGCTTGTTCGCATTTTCTATAGCTAAAGAAGAAGCTACCAAGTTAGGAACAGTTATTGGTATAGATCTTGGAACAACTTACTCATGTGTTGGTGTTTACAAGAATGGACATGTTGAAATTATAGCAAATGACCAAGGTAATCGTATCACCCCTTCATGGGTAGCCTTCACTGACGGTGAAAGGCTGATTGGTGAAGCAGCTAAAAACCAGGCTGCTGTTAATCCTGAGAGGACCATCTTTGACGTCAAGAGACTTATCGGGAGAAAGTAAGGCATTGTGTTCTTTAGTATTTTATTTCGTGTGGAAGTCTGCTTGAGATAGTTTTGATAATGACTCTTGACTTATCTCTGTTGATAGGTTTGAGGACAAAGAAGTACAAAGGGACAGGAAACTTGTTCCATATGAGATTGTTAACAAGGATGGGAAACCATATATCCAAGTTAAGATCAAAGATGGGGAGACTAAGGTCTTCAGTCCTGAGGAGATCAGTGCTATGATTCTGACCAAGATGAAAGAAACAGCAGAAGCTTACCTTGGAAAGAAAATCAAGGATGCAGTTGTCACAGTTCCAGGTATCTTCAAAAGTTTCCTATTTCAGATAGTTTGTATGTTGTTCCAAATTTTGGTGTCATACAATTGCTGAGCTTATTATGTCTATCTTTTTTTGTATCTGTAGCATACTTCAATGATGCCCAGAGGCAGGCCACTAAGGATGCAGGTGTTATTGCTGGTTTGAACGTGGCAAGAATCATTAACGAACCAACTGCCGCTGCCATTGCCTATGGATTAGATAAGAAAGGTGGTGAAAAGAACATCCTGGTCTTTGACCTTGGTGGTGGTACATTTGATGTTAGTATCCTCACTATTGACAACGGTGTTTTTGAGGTTCTTGCCACAAATGGAGACACTCATCTAGGAGGTAATAACCTATTGATTAATTCCTTTGTACATTCCCCCTTCCCTCCACATTCTGTATCTTTTAGGAAATAATGCTATATTCTTTTCTTCTACTAACAAATTAGTTTGAAAACTATAAATGCCAGCCGATGAATTTAAAGGTCTTGAAAAGATTTAAATAACTTTCATCTTCTGATCAGTCTCGTTCACAAGTTACATCAATTATCTATTGTTTCTTGCAGGAGAGGATTTTGACCAGAGGATTATGGAGTACTTCATTAAATTGATAAAGAAGAAGCATGGAAAGGACATCAGCAAGGATAACAGGGCTTTGGGAAAGCTCAGGAGAGAAGCTGAGCGTGCCAAGAGAGCACTGAGCAGTCAGCATCAAGTCAGGGTTGAGATAGAATCTCTCTTCGAAGGTGTAGATTTCTCTGAACCCCTTACTCGGGCTCGTTTTGAGGAGCTGAACAACGATTTGTTCAGGAAGACAATGGGTCCTGTTAAGAAGGCTATGGAGGATGCTGGGCTAGAAAAGAACCAGATTGATGAAATTGTATTGGTTGGTGGAAGTACCAGGATTCCTAAAGTTCAACAGCTTTTGAAAGATTATTTTGATGGCAAGGAGCCCAACAAGGGTGTCAACCCTGACGAAGCAGTTGCTTATGGTGCAGCTGTACAAGGAGGAATCTTGAGTGGAGAGGGAGGTGATGAAACCAAAGGTACTGCTTCTTCCAGTCTTCTTTCAGCCATTTGATACTGGAGAGTTTTCTAAGGCAGAAAAATTAACTGTCTTTTTAATTTTAACCAGATATTCTTCTCCTGGATGTTGCTCCATTGACTCTTGGTATTGAAACGGTTGGTGGAGTGATGACAAAGTTGATCCCAAGAAACACTGTTATTCCTACTAAGAAATCTCAAGTCTTCACCACTTACCAGGATCAGCAGACTACGGTCACAATTTCGGTAATACTTCAGACTATTTTCCTAATTAGCTGAATGTGTTGTGCTAAGTATTATTTATGGCTCTTCTGACTTGAAAATTCTCGCCTACAGGTCTTTGAAGGTGAACGCAGTCTCACAAAGGACTGCAGGCTACTTGGGAAATTTGACTTAACTGGAATACCTCCAGCTCCTAGGTACTTGATCCAACTGCTTTCGATAAGAATATTTCATGAGTTGCTTTTGCCTTCTTTGACTATAATTTCTTTTTTTTTTTTTTTTTTTTTTTTNTGAAAGCTGAAGATAAAGCCTCTGGAAAATCAGAGAAGATCACCATTACCAATGACAAGGGTCGCTTGAGTCAAGAAGAAATTGAACGTATGGTCAAGGAGGCCGAGGAGTTTGCTGAGGAGGACAAGAAGGTGAAAGAAAGAATTGATGCCCGAAACAGCCTGGAGACTTACGTATACAACATGAGGAACCAAATCAATGACAAGGACAAACTTGCAGACAAGTTAGAGTCTGACGAGAAGGAGAAGATTGAAACCGCCACAAAAGAAGCACTTGAATGGTTGGACGACAACCAGAGTGCTGAGAAGGAGGATTATGACGAAAAACTGAAAGAAGTGGAGGCTGTGTGCAACCCAATTATCACGGCTGTGTATCAGAGATCTGGTGGAGCCCCAGGAGGTGCCAGCGAGGAATCCGCCGAGGATGATGATTCACATGACGAGCTGTAATAGATTTGTAGGTTATAGTTTTCTGTTGTCAAATAGATACACTTCTAATTATTTCTTATGTAATTTCACCATATGGAGGGTGGAACGTAGAACAACTCGGAAGAAACCGTGGGTAAAGGACGTAATGTCGCTCTGGTCTCTTGCCTCTTGTTCATTTTTTCGTACACCTGTATAGAGACTTAAATCAATTCAGAGTTCAGATTTCTGGTATTCATTCTGGTGTGAGGTGACTTGATTTTGAATTTCTGCAGCCAAGTACTGTGTTTGATTTTAATGGTCATTATTTTAATTTTCCAATGTTAAGCCTTTGAGAAAGCTTACCTCCCTAGCATTCTAAGGGGAAGTGATGATAAAAGGACAACGTAACATATCGGGTATTGGCAAGCATAGGAGTTTAACTTATTAAATACACTTACGGGTAGTTTGGTAAGAGTGTATAAGAATAATGATGAATATGATATATTAGTAATGTTGATATTAGTTATGCTTGCATATAATATATTTTTTATTTATTGTTCGGTTTGATTATTAAAGCATTGTATAATTTTTTAAAAAATTATTTGTTTACAAAAATACCCTCATAACCAGCGTTATCTTCTTAAAAGAAACATATGTTGTGGAATGTTTTTATATGAAAAAGGCTTAAAAAAATTATTTGATTTGTCTACCTATATTGTAGTATATAACTTAATATTTATTTATAAAAAATAAAACATGCTAAGTATTTATTTATTTACTAGGGATATAATTTTATTTCTCATTTTCTTAGATTATTTCAAACTTGCATTAATATAATAACATATTTTAATCAAGCATAAATTTTGAAGGACAATTTTGTCTTTAACTAAGTTAATGCATGCATTAAAACTCATTGCATTGTTAATACCATAGTTTCTTATGCATAGAATAATATCAAATAGGGTGTATAACTAATGCATGTTTAAAAAGTGTACCAAACAAAGAATTACTAATACACAAAGCTAATGCATGCATTATTTTACCTAATGCATCCTACCAAACGATCCCTTAGTAAATAAAATAAAGGTAAAGCTTACTCAAGTTGAACCCCCATGGAGGATCGCTACTTCCGTCTGGGACCAGAGTTTCAATTTGGTATATTTTAACTACCTAAGAAAATGTCAGATGCCAATGTTCACGTTTAAGTCAGAACAATGGCTAATTGACTCAAATGTGCTCATTTTCATAGCCGCGTTAGATATTCAATCATCTGCACATGATGAATTGACAAAGCGCTGGAGTTGTAATCGTGAGTTAGCACGTCTAACAAGTATTTTACACCAACCAGATAATAAAATTGATAATATTTTAGCTTTCACTTTCCAATTAGAAACAATGTTACCCCAACATTCAGAAGGGTAAGCAACCAATATAGTAACCTAAAAAGCAAAACAATGAATCCCTTGTACGTCTGGTGACTCCTTTCTTGAAGTGGCAATATCTTTGCTCCATGCCATCGCAGAAGCTCAAAAGATAGTATTAAAATCTAGAAGAGAAAATCCCTTCACTTAGGATGAAAAATAGGTACATAAGCATCTACACCAGTAACATGATCGATCAGCAAAAGGAGAAAAAGAACAAGATATGGTGTACGTTAGTTGTGGGTAGTGGCCTGCTGCAACCAAGGCCAGTGCAACTCGCAGACATCTCGAGGGCAGTCACCATCATTATCCTTAATCTCCACATTAGCACCATGCTTTACGAGAAACTCAGCAATATCTTCCCTTTCACAAACAGCAGCATAATGAAGTGCTGTCTGGCCCTCTAGATCCTTCAATGATCAAAATAACAAGAATTTGCAATTCAGCATATATCACAAGCATGAAAACCAGAAGCACCCACAGACATTGGAAACTATGGAAGAATTACGAGGCCCAATGCTTAAAACCAAGTTCGACAAACTCCAGAGTCCAACCTTCAACTAAAAGAATTGCAGCCTCATAAGCTCTAGCCTTATATTTCCCCAAGATACAGAACCTTTGAGGAAGCAAGCTTCAGACCAAGACCACCTTGCGTTAGCTCTCTCTGACGGTTTCCATGGCTAAGAATTATAGCATTTAAACCCGTTTTAATTATGTTTTGAGTGATTTTAGGGTTTCAGGTGAATATTCGTGTTTCTTGTACTGCACTTGTGTTTTGAGTGACATTAGCTCTTTCAGGTAGAATTAATGTCTCATGTGCCACTTGCATTTTGAGTACATTAGGTTTCCTTTAACACATAGGCCACACTTAAGTTTGCTTGATATAAGGGTTTTGATTAAACCTTCTGCATAACAAGTATTTGAGTGTATTTTAGCACACTTTTGGTCTCATCTTGCCTTTTTTATTTATTTATTTATTGAATCTGTTGGCCTCATCTTCCTTTGTGATTACATGATCACATAATGCAATTTTAAAACTCACTAGGTTTAGCATCTATGTTGTTCTTTGCCTCTCTTTTAGTCCCGACATAATGATAAATTCTCAAAAACACTATATTGAAGAGTGAGGGAAGAGAGAGAGAGAGAGAGAGAGAGAGAGAGAGAGAGAGAGAGGGGATGAATATACAAGAAAACTACAGCTTCATCAAGTAAGGTTATTGCTCTTAAGACTTTCAAATGAAAAAATCATGCAATAAAATACAAGCCCGAGAAAGTATAATTATAACTAATCACAGAACCGAAACAAGATCAGGGGTTGTCACAATGCAAAATTATATGTACCTTGGCGTTTACATCGGCATTCCTGCTTAAAAGCAATTTAGTGATGCTGAGATGACCACGATCTACAGCCCAGTGCAAGGGGGCACGACCCTCACTGTCTGGAATCATGTCAAGAAACAACTTTCAGTCAACATCAAATAAACAAAAGAAAGCAAAAGCTGCACTACAAGTTCCAGGTAGACATCATTCAAGAAGCTCCAGGGTCGTCACACTCGACCACTCTAAACATTCTCTCAGTTCTCCACCCGATTATTTTTCTTCTTGGTATGAACGCAAGAGAATCATCAAGAATCATCTTAGTTCAATGAAAATTGACCCATCCTCGGGAGTTGATTATTAATTAAAAACCATAAGCAAAGCAAATACCAGTGAATCAAACATATCAACATTAAAACACCACAACTAAACTTCACAAGAATTGATTTATCACATTGAGAACCAACCTTTCACATTCACAGGAACACCACTCTCAATGCACTTAAGCAAGTTCTCCTCGTCCCCTTCTCTGGCAAAGGCATGAATTGCATCCAATTTTCTGCAAAGAGAATAGAGGGTATGTGAAGCATTATAATTATTATAAAATAGACACATATAGATAAAAGACAAAAGAATGAGAGAAAGTTACACAACTTGAAAATGACCAACAAAGTACAGCTTGTTCAAAAGTTCATCCCTCAGATAAACAAGAAAAGCGTAGTTAAATAAGGAAGCTCATCTAAGACTTGTTAAGACAGACAGATTAGATGCTGCTTATTGTTAGCACCATTGCCTCTAGTGTAGGAAAAATAAAATAAGAATGAAACTATAATACAAAATAACCTCTATAAACTCGCCAGAACCACAGAGTTGAAATTCCAAAGAATATTTCTGCTTTTTGATGCCAAGATAAACTAGTTATAGACTACATAGCAGTTGTTGCAGAGACCGTCCTTCACAAATAGAATGAACGACGACAACAAATAAAAGAACCACACAGTATCCAGCCCACATTTTACAAAAGGCCAAAAGAACAATGTGTCGGTTAAAGTTTAAACTACCAAGCCAAATAGTAAAAGGTCTTCAGGCTTAGAACTCACAATAAAGTTTGATTGATTAAACCAGAGTCTGGAAGATTTTCCTTCGACATTTACAGCAATTATAGGTTTAGCTATTAAGGGGAGGGGTAGGACATAAAAAAGGAACAGAACCATGACATACTTATACTAACGTATAATTTCTAATTTTTTCCACACTTACTAGAAGAATATGAATTCCTTAGTCTTTGTTAGGAGAAAGTGTGAGTTCAATGTATTTAAAATAGTAAACTTTGGTCCTACAAAAGTTTTAGAGTTATATAACATGTATCAGAACTTTTCCTTTAAAAAAAGTGCAACGCTTAAATGGGATGGGTTGAAATAACAAGGGATAATTTTTTGGGACTGAGTGCATGATTTCCGCGAAAGGGGCACATTTAAATTGTTATACAAGTAACATTTTAAAGAAAAAAAAAACATAGGCTGCAAAAGTTTGGGTTCACACAAGTTAAAGAACCTTACAACTCGTTTCCGGATTCCTCCTCATCGATGAAGGTACTGAAAACAGGTCCCATTGGCCCTCTAGAATCTGCATTACGTGCAACACTACTTTCTTCGTCCTTCTTTTTCTATTCGAGCATGTTGAGAAGACCAAACAGCAATAAGAAGACAGCGAGGAGAAGAAAAAGAAGTAGAACATTCATTTAGTCCAGGAAAACAAAGACATGATCGATTGCTATTAAAAACAAAGATGTGTCTCTTACAGTTTCAGATCCAGAAAGCCAGGAAGGATATAACTCAGTCACGATATCAAGATACTTCTCCATGGCTTCTTCAGGAGGCATGGCACCCAATTTCTGCCATGCTTGCCTAATACATGATCAAAGTAAACCTTATCATCAGTCATGCAAGAAAGACCAACCAAAATATACCATTAATAACTTAGAAAACATTTTATCTACAGTAAGACACTTAGGAAACAAATTAAAAGGATATAGAGCATTCATTTTGAAGTGATGAGCTATACGGTTTGAACTTATAACAATTCTTTGATCTTGCTAGTTGGAAAAATCTTATTGCTTTTACAAGGGAAATGAGAGTTTAGTCTATAAGCTATTTTTCTTGTGCCGTCTTCGTTGTGCAGAAGTAATCATGCTTTTCTACACAGGGATTGGTTGAGAGAGTGGCTGTGATTTTTTCTGATAGCAACAACGTACCTCTTGAGAGATTTGTTTTCAAGATAAATGTGAACCAGTCCTGTGGTTTGAAGTTGGAGGAAGCTAATCTGAAGTTCTCTCTAAAATCATTTTTGATCAAGCTTCCTTTGTCACAGTCGATAATGAAGGTTCTTCCACCAGGTAACCTCTATTAGAAACTTCATTTAAAACGTCACTTCAGATCTTCCTCTAATCACATTAGATTAGTGTGTTTGTATTTACTAGATGTGCTTAAGACTAAGTATCTAAGGGGAAAGGGAGGTTGATGCTATAGAACCTTTGTGCTGAATTGATCATTTTAGGTGACATCTTATCCCTGAGACATCCATCTCTAGCCACCTTATGAATTATTATATAAAAGCCAGTACAGTTAAAAAAGTCTTACATATCCTTGAAGCGGGATTATGTCATGAAAGATGCCACACACAACTTTATTCAAAACAACACTGTCAATGCAATCCGAACAATTTGTTTTCAAGCAAAGTAATACATTCAGAGAAGTCCTCGGGAACTTCCACTTCCCTCACCCCTTATTATCATCCTATTGTCTATCATAGCTAGCAGTAAATTTGTGTACATCAATTTCATAAACTTTGATATCTCATTCAATATTCCAACAAGGAGACAATAGCCTTCAATTGCTTACCCTAATAAGCCGTAGCACAATATGGTTCACTATACTTTAAGTTACTTTAGCAACTTCTAAGAGTATACTCTTGCACTGATAACTAAGCATCAGCATCTAGTCTTAGTACTCCTATCAAGTTGTAATTCTGTTTAAGAAACTCAAACTACTTAATTTGCTAATCACATGTATCACAGGAGTTTACTATTTGAGCTATTTTCCCTTCATTAACCTAACAAGAATATGTAACATGATAGAGTCAACGTTTTTAAAAGCGAAAACCGCAAAAAAGCGACAAGGCCATGAGGCTTGAGGCGAAAAGCGAGAAGTCAAGAGCACGCTTCTTTGAAATGAAACGCGCAATTTACGGAAAGTTGAAAGATACCGATGAATTTAGTACTATATATATCAAGTTGCAATTAAAATAACTAATTTCAGTATCAATATATAAAGAGGCAGACATTAGTCCAACTCCTCAAAGACGAGATTCAAAGAATCAACCAACTTCTTGTTCAGTTGCAGGTCATTGTTGAAGAACATGGCTTCACCCATGAAGCTATAACCCCTCGCTACACATGCTTTAAGCACCAAGTGATGACTTTCGAAAACAATGTCTATATCTAAAGCAGAGTATCAGATTTATCATCAAATGTATCACACTATCTACGCAGATATAACAGTCATAAAGAACTTCTACATTCAAAAGATAAAGCAAAAGACTAGCTGATTTTAGACAATACTAAACGTCTTATAGTATTTAACATCAAAACAGCAAAAAGGATTATAGGCGGAGATTTCCAGAGCATTACCACTTGGCACGGGCAGTCATTTTGAGAGCGGATGGCTGTGGAGCAGTGCAAGGTCCCTCAGTCGCAATCTTATAAAGCCCATAGAGCTGCAATTGCACCTCATTTGATACCTTTTGCGAGCGATCAGCTGCCGTAGCAGCCACGAAAGCCGTCGCGGCACTAAACGCCTCATCCAACTCAGTACTCTCTACACCTTCCCAATCATCGTCGCTTTCTATGCCGCCGCTACTCACCGAGCTCCCGTTTAAACCGCCGTCGTTCCTCTGAATTAGCGGCTCAGTAGTAGTATCCTCCGATTGAATGTTCGGTTCGACTTCGTAGGAATCGCCACGCGTGATACGAAGATTCTCGTCGCGAAAAGCGAAGATGATAGAGAAAAGCTTGGCGAGGAGGAAAGAGAAAATAACGCCGAAGATCACCGACTGTAGATACTGCTGCCAATCGGCCATGATTAGTTGGAGAAGAATACAAAACCCTAGATCGTAGGAAAATATTAGTATTAGGAGAAATATAGCATTAAGAGAGAGCGAAAGAAGAAAAAGGAAGGAAGGGATAGTGGAGATTGAGGGCTCGAAAATGAAATTGTTGGCAGTTGTTGTTATCGGGGTCGTTATATATACGGACAGAGCATGCGAGACGAATCTCAAATCGGGATTCATATATACACTCGTTAAATTATGTTTCTCCTTTATGTGCCCATTAAAACAACTGTTGCAAAATTGTCCCCTTTGGTTTTATCGGCTGAATCAAAGTTTAAATATCTGCTAGTAACATACCTCTAGCTATATAATCTTACTTCTTGAAGCGCTCTATTTTAACTGCGAAAGTGGACTACTCGAGTTAGACGAGAGGCAAGAACGTAATTTCAAAGAGACTCAGTCAACTTAAGTATATACTATTTCGATTTACATAAGTATTGATATTTTTATTGAAGAAGGACGAAAGTATCAAGTATCGTTAGTTTGGAAGTCTAATTAGTGTTGTCAGATATTTTAAATGTCTTAAATGAAGAGTATATTGTAAAACTTGAAGAATATTGGTGCTGGAGCATTAATTAAGTCGCTTTTTTCTACAATTTATTATTTTAACCTCTTTGTCTTTCTCTTTTTTTTAAAAAAAAATGTGAGAATAACAAACAATTACTTACTCATAAGTTACCTGTAATTTTGATATTTAAATGGGAAAACAAAAGATATAATCCTAAAGCTCGCAATAACTATATTGTATTAAAGCCTCCAATAGTTAATCATGATATTTTGGACTTGTAATATAGGAAATTGTATTATTTTGGTTTCTGTTAGTATAGGAAAACCACGATTCAATTCAGCTCGTACACTGTAAAGGCTATGAGCACTTAGCTAGAATGCAAATGTAGTACACGAGCCTGCCAGCTGAGCATGAGCTATTCGACAGAAGCCCTTCCAAAATGTCTAAAAGGATCTAGGCCCGTTTGGCTATAAAAAAAATTCACTTTGTTTTCTAAATTTTTTAGCTTTTTTTCGGAATAAGTGTTTTGCCGTGAAAATTTTAAATTTCATATGATGTTAAAATTCGAAAATTTTAAAATTTTCAAAAAGTTATTTTTCAAAATTTTCACCTTTAAATCACTCAAAAAAATTCAAAATAGCTCCAAATTGTATTCATGTCCAAACACAACTCTCAATTTCAAATATTATTTTTACTTTGAAAAAAAATTATGTTTTTCGGAATTTCATAATTCTTTATGTCCAAAGCCCACTCAAGATAGTAAAATGACCACTCAGATCGACAGCAGCCTTTCCAAAATGTCTAGATTTAATATATTATGCATACTATATATATATATATATATATATATATATAGTGAAATTAGCAAAGTTACAACCCCACTACTCACCTTGTTTAAACACGGCAATCTCTGAAATTAGTGAGAATTGCAAATGGGATTGTTTTTTCTACGAGGCGTTTAAGACTTATGCGGGAGCTTGGAGATTCAAGGGGACAAATCATACAAAACCAATGTTAGAACATAAAACATTGCCTAAGATTCTGAACTAGCCTATGTAGTTTGTCAATTTCGTTCTCTCCATAATTAGCGTTTGTTATTGTAATTTGTAATTTGTAATTTGTTGTGCAGCAACAAATATGATATAATTGACAGTTACATATGTTAAGTCAAATATAAGGATGATTAAACTTGATCTTTACACTTAACCCAGGGAACAAACATGCATTTTTTCTTTATTATATCTCTGTTTACCCGAAAAACGGATAGAGTTGAATTTGTATGTAGTTCTAAAGATACGTTGTATAACTTGGCACAAATCGTAAAAGTAAGTAGAAATATATCGAATATTGACTGTAAAGAATGAAATACAAACCAAATTGAATAGAAAGCGATTTTATGAACAAGCAAGATGAATCAATGTATGAAGCTCACAAGAGGATAATCTCTATTGTATCTCACTGTGAATATCAATAGTATATGAGTTTGAGAGTGTATGAATGCCTTAATAGTTGCATGTCTTACAGAAATAACAGACATCCCTCTTATAGTGGAGGGATCCTACTTTGGATATAATTAAAAATACATAGTGGAGAACCCATGATAAATTAGTTTTTCCTTAATTCCCGCCGAGATTCTCTCCCTTAGTGCGGCTGTAACGGCTTTTGTCTCTTGGCTCGATCGTGATCGGACTTGGTATCGGTCGATCTCCAGATTTAGAGCTCGATATTGACTCGGGCCCCGGTATTCACTTGGGCTCGGTATTGGTCGGTCTCTGGCTCTTAAGCTCGATAACGCCGCTTCGCATCATAGTTCGATTTGGACTTGAGCTCGGTAATGACTTCGAGCTCGGTATTTGATCGGTCCCAGATATTTGAGCTCGGTAACCTAGCTTCAGATCTCATCTCGATATTATAAAGTTGACCTTCGGTCCATTATGTTCCAATCATGACTAATCATACGGAGGTCGAAACCGGTTTTGACCGTATACTGATAGTCCCCTCGTTTCTCGGAAAGAATGTGGTGAGAAACGATATGATTTTCCAACGGTATGACTAGATATACACTGACGTTTGTATCGAGCCCGACCATGCCAAAATATGGGAATCGGGCCGAGTTCTCGTATTATGGCCAAAAAATGCCAAAGAATGAGGAACTGTCATGGCGGGTCGGTGAACAATGTTCCTTAGATCGTTTTTTATTGTCTGAATAAATTTTAGGCGATCCGGGTCCGGAAAAACGGGACCATGCGGAAGGCGTGGGATATATCACACGAAAATATGGGAATCGGGCCGAGTTCTCGTATTATGGCCCAAAAATGCCACAAAATTGAGGAACGATCATTGCAGCTTGGTGACCAATATTCCTTAAGTCGTTTTCTATTGCCGGATATATTTTAGGTTGTCCGGGGGCCCGTGCCCAGGCGAAAGGTGTGGGCTATAGCACACGAAAATATAGGAACCATGCCGAGTTCTCGTATTATAGTCCAAAAATGCCAAACAATGAGGAACGATCATTGCAGCTTGGTGACCAATGTTCCTTAAGTCGTTTGCTATTGTCTGGATAAATTTTAGGCAGTTAGGGTCCAGGGGCTCGAGCCCACGCCTTGGTTATAGTACACCAAAATATGGGAGTCGGGCCGAGTCCTTGTATTATGGTCCAAAATGCCATAAAATGAGGAACGGTCATGGCGAGTCAGTGACCGATGTTACTTAGGTCATGTTCTATTGTCCGGATAAATTTTAGGCAGTCCGGGTCTGGGGGATCGAGCCCACGCGAAAAGCATGGGCTATAGCACACGAAAATATGGGAACAGGTCCGAGTTCTCGTATTATGGCCCAAAAATGACATAAAATGAGGAACGGTCATGGCGGGTGGGTGACCAATGTTCCTTAGGTCATTTTCTATTATCCGGATAAATTTTAGGTGGTCCGTGTCCGGGGGGCCGAGCCCACGCGGAAGGTGTGGGTTATAGCACACGAAAATATGGGAATCAGGCCGAGTTCTCGTATTATGGCCCAAAAATGCCAAAACATGAGGAACTGTCATGGCGGGTCGGTGAAAAATGTTCCTTAGATTATTTTTTATTGTTCGGATAAACTTTAGGTGGTCCGGGTCCGGGGGATCGAGCCCACACAGAAGGTGTGGGTTATAGCACATGAAAATTTAAGAATCAGGCCGAGTTTTCGTATTATGGCCCAAAAATGCCAAACAATGAGGAACGGTCATGGAGTGTCGATGAACAGTGTTCCTTAGGTCGTTTTCTATTACCCAAATACATTTTAGGCGGTCCGGGTCCGGGGGCCCGAGCCCATGCGGAAGGCGTGAGCTATAGCACACGAAAATATGGGAATCGGTCCGAGTTCTCGTATTATGAACCAAAAATGCCAAAATATGAGGAACTGTCATGGCGGGTTGGTGAACAATATTCCTTAGGTTTTTCTATTGTCTGGACAAATTTTAGGCGGTCCGGGTCCGAGGGCACGGACCTACGCGAAAGGCATGGGCTATAGGGCACGAAAATATGGGAATTAGAACGAGTTCTTGTATTATGGCCCAAAATACAACAAAATGAGGAACGGTCATGGCTAGTCGATGACCAATATTCCTTAGGTCATTTTCTATTGTCCGGATATAGTTTAGGCGGTCCGGGTCTGGGGCCCCCAGCCCACGTGGAAGGCGTGGGTTATAACACACGAAACTATGAGAATCGGTCCGAGTTCTCGTATTATGACCCAAAAATATCAAAAAATGAGGAATTGTCATGGCGGGTCGGTGAACAATGTTCCTTAGGTCATTTCCTATTGTCTGGATAAAGTTTAGGCGGTCCGGGTCCCGGGGCAGGGGCCCACGCGGAAGGCGTGGGCTATAGGGCACGAAAATATCGGAATCGGACCCAATTCTTGTATTATGGCCCAAAAATGCCAATAAATAAGGAACGGTCATGGCGGGTCAGTGACCGATAATACTTAGGTCATGTTCTATTGTTCGGATAAATTTTAGGCGGTCCGGGTCTGGGGAATCGAGCCCACGCGGAAGGCGTGAGCCATAGCACACGAAAATATGGGAATCAAGCCGAGTTCTCATATTATGGCCCAAAAATTCCAAACAGTGAGAAACGGTCATGGTGGGTAGGTAACCAATGTTCCTTAGGTCATTTTCTATTATCCGAATAAATTTTAAGCAGTCCTGGTCCGGGGGACCAAGCCCACGCGGAAGGCGTGGGCTATAACACACGAAAATATGGGAATCGAGCAGAGTTCTCGTATTATGACCCAAAAATGCAATAAAATGAGGAACGGTCATGGCGGGTCGATGACCAATGTTCCTTAGGCCATTTTTTATTACCCGGATACATTTTAGGTAGTCCGAGTCCGGGGGCCCGAGCTCACGCGAAAGGCGTGGGCTATAGCACACGAAAATATGGGAATCGGTCTGAGTTCTCATATTATGACCCAAAAATGCCAAACAATGAGGAACTGTCATGGAGGGTCGGTGAACAATGTTCCTAAGGTCATTTTCTATTGTCTGGATAAATTTTAGGCGATCCGGGTCCGGGGGCACGGGCCCACGCGGAAGGCGTGGGCTATAACACACGAAAATATGGGAATCGGTCTAAGTTCTCGTATTATGACCCAACAATACCAAAAATGAGGAATTGTCATGGAGGGTCGCTGAACAATGTTCCTTAGGTCATTTTCTATTGTATGGATAAATTTTAAGTGGTCTGTGTCCGGGGGC